ACAAAAAAGCCCATGATTACAAATCGGTTCCATCAGAACCATATCTCCTCAACAAGTTCTCACACAATATATCGAAACCATAACTTTGAAATTAATTTATATAATCAAGATTTTACGAATGGTTTACCTTGCCAACTTGCGATGGAATCCGGAACTTTCAATACTTTCAAATAGCGAAAAGTAAGTAAGTTTAGTCTGAATCGTACTAGTCTAGACGTACCCATATAAATATTTAGGGTATATAAAGACTCCAGATTTTCACGTTATCTTGTCAGTTCTAACGGTTTATTGCAACACTATAATATCATTTTAACAGATAAGTATTTTTTTCTCCAAAATGTTCATGTTTTTAGGGCCTATTCTTGTTGGGCAAAAATATGTGTCTGGAATTTAGACTATAATTGAAATGGCGTAAATATTCATAATTGAATGACACACGCCCTTAAAACTAAAACAACAACAACAACAACATTCTGAATAGTCTACGGAAAAAAGAGCTCCGTATGGCCCACCTCTCCGCCCCACCTGAAAAGGTTGTGTATCTAATTCTATAGGGTAATTTTTGGTGCAGAATTGAATACGAATGTTGCCAAACAAGCCCACCTATTGGGCTCATCTGAAGCGCCAAGAAACATTCTTTACGGACATCTAGAAAACACTGTATTATTAAAACACATTGCAAATCTACGGTATTTTCTGTACAGAGCATGGAGAGGAGCTCGCAAAATACGTCTTGTATACCATTTGGTGTTTCAATGATGACAACTTTAAAAATTAGTAACTTTCCTACTTGTATTCTGCTTTTTTTAAAAGCGATCCATTAGGGTGGACTTCATTTTAACTCTCAAAAAAGCTGTAAATTATACTTTCGTATGCGTTTGTCAGACAAAAAAAAAATGCTTACTTATAGAAGCCTTTAGGCCTACATGTCGAGGACTTGAGCCCCCTCCTTTACTTTTTTGAAAAAGTATATAAAAGATAAATAGAAAGAAGAGTGACCTGCCAGTGTCACAAAAAAGGTATCAAACTATGCTCATTTGAACCTAATTAAATGCTTAAAACCCATGAGCTTCCGGGGGCTCTGCTCCCTGGACCCCTTCAAGGCGGGGCCCTGGATGCTCATCTGACAGTAATGTAATTCCTAAAACCCCTCAGCTTCTGGGGCTCCGCCCCTGGACCCCATGCCAATTAGTGACCTGCCAGTGTCACAAATATGGTATCAAAATATGCTCATCTGACCGTAATTAAAAGAAGAAGAAGAATTAATGCCTAAAACCCCTGAGCTTCCGGGGGGTCCGCCTTGACCCCCTACCGGGTCTTTGCCCATGGATCCCACCCTAACTTACGCTCCACTTACTTTGCTCGCTACCCTCTACCTGATCATAAATACTTTAGCCACACCCCCCCCCTCCCCCCCCCCCCCTCCCACTTTGAAATACGTTCCGCGGGCCTGCATGCATGTAGCATGTGAGTGGTGGTGATGCGGATTTTAATTTTCTTCCCCCCCCCCCCCATTACTCCCCTGTTCACCATCTTTGCACGCAAGGCACAGCTAGTATCGATTTTCATCCAAGAAAGATTAATTTAGATGCTCCCATTGAGTGCCAACACCAAATTGACAAAACTGTTCTTAAATCGTCTTCTCCCTCCTTCATACGCAGACTTCTTCTTTTCCCTTCTCCTTTCCTTTTTTTCTTTCTTCTATTCCCCCTCCCCCCTCTTCTTCTTCTTCATCATCATCGCCTACATCTTCTTCCTCCTCCTCCTCTATTATACTACTATACTACTGGTATACTTCTATATCGCTATTCTTCTATTCAAGAAGTTGCAAATTATAGGGCAACAACAGCTTCCCTGAATTTTAGAAGTTTTCAGTAAAAGGGGTCTCTTTCATGGAAAAACACGCAAAACATTGTGCAGTCTACTACACTATTTTGCATGCCGTAACGAGATATGACAGTGCCAAAAAAGGTTGTATTTCCTATATTTTTGTGACATTATACTCTGCCATCAGTTGTCTGTCCGCGGAGTCGGCTAGTACACGGGTTCCATGCATACTACACATAAAATATACACCATCGCAATTTTTTTTTAACAAGTGCGTTGTGACCACAAATTGATGCCTCATTAAAAGAGGTAATAACATGCCAAAAGTGACATCTATCCCAAGTTTCTGTCGAAATCTGTTTCAGTCGGTTTTGGTTTGCCTTAAAACATGTTATGTTCACAAGCTGTCATCTGATTCTGTTATACCACTACTACAAAGTACAGTGATTCTTTACATGTAATACTCCTTTAACTATTATATTAAGAACGTGTATGGACATTTGCCATTTTGCCACCGCTATGCCGCTTTGCTGTTTTGAGGTGGGGAGTTTAATTCTGTTAGGGCCTCGTCAGGGTTTGCGACAAAAAGCCACCCACTCCTTACAAGCCTGAACTTCCTTCCCACCCCCATCGGCGAATATAAGTAGGCCTATCATTCTGAAAGAGGATCACAATTCACTTGACTGTTCTTCACCAGATAAGGAACCGTTTCTGTTCTTTGTAAACTTTGTCGATCTACATGTGAGCAAACCAAATATCCATGTTGAATGACATTGGACAAATATATACATTGAATTGAATTGAATTACATGCTTGGACTGACTTTGGATAAAACTACAAAATGACAGAGGTGGGCCAGAGGAAGGGTTCGTCCCCCTGTAAGGGAGGTGAACGGTCTCTTGTGGACGCTTTATCGGACTACCCTGGGGAGTTGGTGAAGACAGAGAGCCCTAACTTCATCTGCTCTCTCCTCCCACCCCACTGGAGAAGTAATAAGAGTTTGCCCGTGGCTTTTAAAGTGGTTTCACTTGGTGAGACAAAAGACGGAACGGTTGTGACAATTGGAGCAGGGAATGACGAAAACTGCTGCGCCGAATTGAAAAATAACATAGCAGTCATGAAGAATCAAGTTGCTCGTTTTAATGACTTGCGTTTTGTTGGCAAATCAGGCCGTGGTAAGTCGCAAATTTAATCTCTAAACCGAACCAAAACAAGATTGTAGTGGCTGTATAGGCCTAGTTAAGATGTAGAAGTGTCCTATTCGAGTGCAGTGGTTGAAAACCCCTCTAAAGTGTTAGGAGCCCCACATTTGCCCTAAAATTGATGGCATAATTTCACTTAAATTGGATCATAATAAGAAAGAGGATGTCGTTTCAGACATACTTCTGCAAAGATTTACGCCAAAAAATGTATTTGAAGACAAAATATTGATAAAATAAAACATTATTTGGGTTTTCTGTTGCATGCAGAAAACCTAAAATTTGCCTCGTGTGTTTGATCCCCAGCTCGGCACTTATGTCATTAAGCAAGTCATTTCATCTAAATTACTTCTCTCCTCCCAGGTGTTAAATGGGTATAACCGATAGGATGCGAAAGTCATTGTAGTTTGTTCAGCAACGTGATCGTCTGCACTGTGAAAAGGTTGCGCAATATTTTCCAACACTTTGTCCAACGTTGTGCCAATAGTCAACCCAACCATCTATTGGGCAATATTTTCGTATTTTGCCCAACAGCTGGTCAAGATTTTCCCAACAAGTGGGCTATCGTACTAGTCGGGCAGTTGAAGGGTCATATCTTTGCCCAAATGTTGGTCAAAATACGAAACAGTTATGCACGTGTAAAGTAGGGTACTTACGTTTACCAATACCACTGGGCAAAATATTGCCCAAAATATGGTTGGGTTGACTATTGGCACAACATAACATTAGAACGCGCAGTGCACAAAACGCAGGATTAATTTTACCTAAAATAAAAACCCAGATGGGAAAACAAAGTTTTTCATTTGATGGTGCAGCTTTTTGGAATAGTTTACCTAATTTTTGAGTAATGCGCCATCAAATTTTAATTCATTTAGTTTCGATTTCGATTGTTTACATCAATATGTTTGTAAATTTTGTATTTATATTGTAGGACCTCCACGGAAAACAGTATTTAACTACTGATGGAGCCACCCTACTAAAAAAAGACTAATAACTAAATAAATAAATAAATAAATAAATAAACGTTGGGCAAAGTGTTGGGAAAATATTGCCCAACCTTTTCACAATGTGTAAAATGTGCCTGGCTGGAATTATAATGCTCCCCAGGAGTGGAGAATGTGCATGCACGCATTGTGTGCGGGTAGGCCTGAATCCGATGACCGAGGTGATTACATATTTTCTGTAAAGCGCTTAGAGACACTGTAAATGTATTTAGCGTTATAGATAAACCAGATTCTTCTCCTTACAGTTATTATTATAATTACTATCATTATATCATCATTACCATTATTGGGCTCTTCTTGTTATTATTATTTTGTTTTTGAATAATTATTTTGGTCGTTTCATTATTATTATCATCATCATTTTTTACCACTATTGCTATCCTTATTGTCATACCCACACAGATTTAGGTCTAGTTCAAGAGTGTCCATTAACTACGAGAAAAGGGTGTGTGGGGAGGGGGGTACTGTAGGCACGTCCGATAAACTGTTGATGATACGTCAGATGCCCTCACCAGTAAATTGAAAAAATGCAAACAATTTGATGGAAATTAGATGTTATATCATTCTTATCTAGTCTCATTAACTGACACGTGATAGATAATTGAAGGGGTCGTTTAAGAAGTTGAAAGAACTTTTAAAAGTGAATGGACGCTTCATTACGATAGAGGGACCTGGGGGTATTTTATTTTATTGGAGAAGAATTTTGGACGCTTAGAAATGTATGGGTGTGAACTTTAGTATCACAAAGGGACCGGCAATTGAAGGGTTGTTTTAGTGTCTTACAAGAGAATTTGGGGAACTCCAACGTCATTTTATTTTATAGGGCTTAGAATTATGGTCCTCTTCTTCTGACTAAACTGCCCCTGCATATACATTCAGAAATTGCAAATGTGATGCTAACCTAGAAAGCAACCTTAAAATCATTCTTGCGTCATCACTCACTACGAATATCATTCCATCATACTTTGTAATCAGCATTACTCAATTTTCTATGCTCGACATTGCACAGCAGGTGAAAAACGTCATAACGGTCCAAAGTTAACTGAGAAGTTTAGAAGAGGTGCGAGTCAGCTACTTTATTGAGGATCTCATCAGAAAATATGGGGTTAGAATCACGCAATTCATAGTTCAATTCCCTGGAAAAGTGCCTCAAAATAATAGACCGCAACCTTTGTGTATCTATTTTTTCCTGTTGTCAAGGTCGGACTTACGCAAGTGGATTATTATTTTGGCTGGATATGTTGTTCGGTTTGGTTAAAGAGCCTGTTTTTGTGGTCAACCAAATGCCAGTGTGGTATACCAACATTTCCCCCACTTACAAAAAATTGTAAAAAAAAAGGAAGGTGTTCTTGATTTAAATTACATTATGATATACGTTGATGATTTCTGACAAAATTTAGTGGTAAGAAACCTCTAATCCTTCTTTTAAGGTTTAAGAATTTCATGAGGCCACTACGCACCCCTTCCTTTGAAATGAAGATAACATGACTCCTTGGACTCCATCTCGTTCTCAATCTTTGTTTTTAAACAACAACATGAAATGCCGATAACTGGGCTATTGCTTCTAAATTTTTTTCTTCAATTTATCAATAATAATTGTGGAAGTGTCGGGGTATGATGGTCTTATCTTCATCATTATTTTGTCATCACTCGGAAGACAAAATAATTCAAATTGACATTACAAGATGGTTCGAACCCCATCCCGGCACTAACGTCGTTTGGCAAGACATTAATCAACGCTTGACACTCTCCACCCAGGTGTAAAGGGGTACCTGGCAATAGCTGGGGTAATAACAATTACAGGAACCTCGGGGAGAACATCGTTGATGCTGATGGGGCTTCCCTGGGTAAACAAAAATATGAAAATTATCCTCATCATTAATTCTGTCATCACTCGGGAGACAAACAAATTCAAATTGATTTTTTTTTTAAACGTTGTAAACGACGCGTCTTGCTTGAACTTCCCTATAAGACCTACACTGTATGTGTGGACTGAGCACATTAAAGTTACTTGTTACTTTTAATTCTCAGAATAAAAACAGTCAGTGATATTTTGTTTTATCGTTACTTTCTGTTTTTTCTCATCTCATCTTTACAGGTAAAAGCTTCACGCTGTCCATATTCGTTTACACCAACCCACCTCAGATTGCTACCTGCAACCGTGCTATCAAAGTTACTGTGGATGGGCCTAGACCAAGACGTGAGTTATATCTTAGTCTCTACTAATTTAATAATTGTTTATTTGACAATGCTTTGCAATCAAAGGTTGAATTGTATTTGATTGACAGGTACTATTAACCCTAAAAAGGCCGGGCTATTTGAGGTCTTAGTACGGCCGGGGGGGGGGGGCATTATGGCCCCCCCCCCCCCCAAGATCTTGCACGCATGTCAAGTGAAGTGTATAGAATAATATGATAATTTCAATTTTTTGAAAAATTCACTCATTTGCATATTTATGGTAATTTATGCAAATAAAGTCATAAAAATCACATTTTTACCCATAAATCATATATTATTCATATTTAAGCATTCTTTTTCACTACATATATTCATTAGACCATTCTGAAACATAATACGACAAAAAATTTGGAAGAGGCAGCTTATTCCTTATGTTATCCCTTGTTTTGATAATTTCTTATGTATTTCATTGTTTTTTTAACTTATGTATTTCATTGTTTTTGTTGTTTTATTTCATTTCTTACTACAATTCAACTATTTTGACTCCAAAAACAACCATCTAAACTTCAAACAAGACCCAATAACCCACGTTTGATCTGTTTTTAGGAAAAATGACTTTTCCATATGTTTTGTACACAAATCACAAAAATGAGCGATTTTCGGGCTGACATGCAAAGACAAAAGGTCATGTGACCTTGTAACCGTAGGTCCGATTTTCAACAAAAAAAAATGAAAAGTTGCGCAAGACTCGAAAGAAAAAAGTCAGCGAGCGGCGGGGCGCCATCCATATGCGTTCCCGAGCAATCGGAAAAATCGTGGAGGGGGGGGGGGCATAATGCCCCCCCGGCCTTATTAGGGTTAAATTTCTTTAGTAAAAGTGATTGTACGTAAATGACAAATGTATTTAATCTATTCTGAAGTGGTGTTACCAGCATTATAGAGTGGAGCTGGGTTATGGCCTCCTTTCTATTGGAAGCGAAGCCTATTGCAAAAGTTGGATCCATTTTTTTTTCTTCCTTACCCGCCCCCGCCCCCTCCCACCTCCCCCTTCTGAGCCGAGACAGCTTTAGACCGCTGGATACCATGACTAGTTTTCGGCTCCACACTGTATTGATATGTCATTTTGCCAAAAATCTGAATAACACATTGCTACGATTACAGCAACGAGGGGAAGAAAAAAACATGAAATGGAAATTTCTGCCAAAAGATTAGTCGCCTGGAATGAATTGGAGACCGATAATGAAATACTTTTCAGGTCGCTCTATGTTCTTAATCCTGATGTATGGAACATCTGGGTACAAGTGACTGTAGTATTGCCCCATAGTTTGTTTTTCTTGTCTGTTAGCTGCAAGTATGTTACTGGTGGATCCGCTAATTGCCAACAGTTGTCCATGCTGTACTTTTGGTGCCATCCTGTATTCTCTGAAAGGGCTTCGCAAAATGTCGTTTTATTGAAAATATTAGCTCAAAATAATACTCTACTCGATGTGTTTGTATGATTTCTGGGAAAAGCGTCTCAGAAACGGAAGACGTTAGGCAAATTCACTGATCCACAAGATAAGATTTAAACGCATGCACTATCTTTCCAAGTTGTCAAATTCTTTTGAATCCTTTAAATGAGTTGTAATTGTCTCCGTTTGAAAGGATAATGTTATATCGAGAACAAAATTAGATTCCTAACATGAATTAAATGGGTTTATTTTTTTATTAAAAAAAAAAATCTGCCTCATTCCAGTGTAGTTTGCGAAAGGGTCATTTTATTATGACGGGTGATAATGAACTTAAACAAAACCTTTTTTGTGTTATTCCAGGACCAAAGTCAAAGCATGATGATCCTCTGTGCTTCTCATCGATCATTGACACAGGCCACGCCCATTCTTATGGGTTGGTCATCTCTCACCATGACAACCAGATTGGAAGACAGCAGCCGTTTGTGAACCAGGGGTGGATGCCTGGATCTTATCCCCTCACTTCAACTTCTTGTGGTAATAAATTCAAGTTGGTTTATTCTTAATGTCCATTAGAAGGATCTATTCGATAATATTTTACATACAAATCATAAACTAAAAGCATATTTTTTAATGGACACGGAATACTCAGGTAAAACCAGTATACGTGTGTTGCATTTGGTAAAGAAAATCACGTTCCTAAAGCTTAAACACGTTTATTACGTAAGAGCCAAGGAAAATAATTATCTAGGAATTGTTATAAAGGATTTTGAAATAAAATATACCTTTCTATAAGCCATACTTTTTATGTTCTCCACATATTCCCAGTTTCAGAGGGAGATGAGCACGACACAAAACATCGAATTTAGGAAATACCGAGCCCCTATCTTACTGCAAGGGTACATTGGATCCTGTCCAAGAGAGTTTGTGATATAAGCTTCTACCTGTTGTTGGCGTGCTTTCAAAATATGTGCAATGTCATCTTCGCTATGCTCACATTTGTTTCAAAATGTCATCAAGCTTGTCACTTGAAGTTAAACAATTTCCACGGTATGTCTGATGGCAAAGCGTATGTAACATCACTTTGGCATGAGACGCCCACTGACATGACTACGTCAATCCGGTTCATTAAGGTGAACGCCATTTTGTCCAAGATCCACAGGAATTTGGATTACTATGGGGGTCATTTCTCGATCATTATGCAGTGAATAATCGTCGTGAATAGAGCTGAAGTAGAATAAAAAATGACAAGCGTTTCCCTTGAACATGTTGAAGCCACGGCCATGGTTAAACTCTAGTTGGACAATGGCCATGCTTTCGGTTTTCGACATGATCATGAGTACTCTTGTGGTATAGCAGAGAGACCACGTGGTTCGTATTGGTTCGTCACTTGTGGTAAACTCGATCCACAAATCAGCTGACAAGAATATGACCAGGTCCTACCGATATGAGAAAAGACAATAAATAAGCCTACGTAATTTAGGTGTGGATGTAGGTCCATGGTTGGACTCTTTGTCACGCAAAAGCCCAGGGCCAATCCCCGGGGTTTTAGGAATGAAATCATGCGCGGGTGATGCTACTTTTAGGTAGGGGCTTTTTGCCATGGGGGGGGGGGGTTGAGCCAGTTGCAGATCCAGGATTTTCCAAAAATCGCGCCATTTTACTGTTTTACTTTTCTTTTTCTTTTTTCCTTCCCCCCTTTTTTTTCTTCTTCACTTGGTCGCCCAAAGGGGGGGGGGGGGTTAAACCACCGAACCCCCTAGATCCGCCCCTGTTAGGTTATGTCTTCAAGTGACCTGGCCATGTGCACCCTTGCAAAAAAGCGAGAGAGAGAGAGAGAGAGAGGGAGAGAGTGAGAAAGGGAGGGGGACAAGAGAAAAAAGGGTTAAACCACCGAACCCCCCTAGATCCGCCCCTGTTAGGTTATGTCTTCAAGTGACCTAGCCATGTGCACCCTTGCAAAAAAGCGAGAGAGAGAGAGAGAGAGAGAGAGAGAGGGAGAGAGTGAGAAAGAGAGGGGGACAAGAGAAAAAAGGGAAGAGGAGAGAGGCACGGCGTAATTAAGATGATACCACACCGTCCCCTCACCGTACGGCTAATAGTTCTCTCGCCATCCAATTTTATCTAACATTTCCAATGTTGCCATCATGACACCGTACCAGTGCCCCCGTAGCTGCAACAACGCTACGCCTCTGCCTTTAGAAGCACGACAGGTCCCAAACACGCTCATGGCCAAATAAGGGGGGATTGATTTCGGAACAACACTTCTATACCTTGCTTAATAATTATTTTTCGGGGCGTTTTTTGTTTTAACTCATGCACCTACGTGATCGGTTAGAAAATGTTATCGCCTATTCTTCCGAATGTTTTTTTTTTCTTTGTTTTTATTATTGCCCTCACCTGTACAGCAGTCACTACTTTTAATAATTATGATTCATACGCTTGTCAGTTGAGTGCGAAGAGGCAAAGAGGGTAGAAGACTGTCGTAGTCGAGTGGTTAAAGCACCTGACTTGTGGTTCGATCCCCGATACGGCACTAATGTCCTTTGGCAAGGCATTAATCTTCATTTGCCACACTCGACCCAGGTAAGGTAAATGGGTACCTGGCAGGAATTCATTCCTTGAAATGCCGGAGCGCTGTAATGGCAGATAATATTATAGGCTAAAGCCGGGTAATAATTAATGCGCCTCGGAATAGAATTTGTAGATAGACGGGGCTATAGAAATGCCTATAATCAATTATTATTATTATTAGGGGGAGAGGAGAAAAATGATTTTGCTAATATTTGTAAGGACTTATGTCTAACGTCAGTCTCAGAAAACAAAAAACATTATTTTGGACAACTTTTTAAGAACTGGGGAAGTATCCCGTGATATTTTCTATCCCATGAAATATATAATATTTATTGTAGAATCCACAAAGATTAATGCTACTAACATCGACTCTTGCGCAATATTTTATACAAAATATTATTGAATGTTATGTCTTTGCATTATTTTGTTGCAGATAACCAGCCTGAATTTCATACAAATCATTATACATCATCGGTTCAACAGTCAACAGGCAACCCCATCCTTCCCCCACAGATAAAGACGGAACCTCCGGAGCTGGACTTGGTCGCTGTTCAGCAGAATCAATCCCAGTTCATCTACCCGACGCAACCAGGAGACACACCCTTCTATCCGTCACAATCTAGCTCCATGTCCAGAGTGTCACCTGGGGAAGATCCACAGCAGCGTACCATCTTGCCGATGACCCCAAACCAACTCCCCTTGCCATCACAGCCTGCTCAGGATGTCTTCTCTAGCTCCACCGCTATTCCAATGACGCCATCAGCTAATAACCCGATTTACCCCCACCTGTACATGTCTACTCCTTCATCTCAGACGCACTATGGTAGTGGCTCTATGCTCCCATCGAGAAGACCAGAGGAAAAGCGAGAATTGGAGGATAAGGAAGACACTAGTCATGGCATCTCCGTGGAAATCATCACGAATCTTCCTCATCCCTATCCTGATATGTCTCTAAGTTACGGAGGCCATCCGCAAAACCAGATCGAACTGGATAGAGAGAGAACCACTGGCATTCAGAGCGTTGGAATGGAGCTCATGCAGCAGCAACATCAAGGCAACACTAATATTGCACCAATGCAACAATCTGTCCTAGGACATTTGCCACTTTTGGCTGATTCGAGAAAAGAGGAATTTTGGCGGCCATATTGAACTTTCAAGAAACTCTTGAGACTATTTCCGAAATGATAACCTTAAAATCTATATCCTTGTATAGGTGTTGAGGTCTAGTGGATACGTCGCTGGACTGTGAATCACATCACATGTTTTGCGGTTCGAGTCCCGCTGCGGCACCAATGTCCTTTGGCAAGACATTCATCTTTATTTGCCACTCTCCACCCAGGTGTAGAAAACGGGTACCCGGTAGGAAGACATTTTCTTGAATGCTTGAGCGCCTTATCATGGTAGCTCAGCGGCAAAAGCCATGGTAATAATATTTCAAGGCCCTCATGGAGAGCTGTATTAACACTGATGAGGTTGCTCGCGGTAAACAAGACATATTATTATTATTATCATCATTTATTCGGTGCCTATTTTAATATGTGTGACCATGCGAGCCTATAAGCCAATTCAAACACGTTATTACCCAATTCTGTTACAAACAAAATATCGAATTCATACATAATTAAAATATGGCTTACAGAACTGTATTTGCGCCATCTCATTTTAAAATGTGATTTTCCCCAAACATCGACGATTTTCTTCAATTCAATTCCACGCGGGGTAGGGTTGAACATTTCTGACAAACGCGGGGAGTGCAAAGGATATACAAATGATGTCTAATTTCTCTTTTTGGCTTAGTTTTGTTAGCTCTTCTATGACTGATATTGTCGTCGATGTTTTGTATTCATGATTTTATCAATATACATGTAGTTCATTCCATTATGTTTATTGTAGAAACATGTCTATGGGTGAGCTGTAGCTTCGTATTGTCATGTTTATCTACATTTTGATACCCCTTACTCAGGAGGAAAATAGGGACCTGGTAGGATGACGAAAGCCATTGTGATCGTAAACTGCCATGCCCTCAAGGTGAGCGTAGGGTTGGAATACTCAAAGGAGAAAGGAGATGGTGCACACAATGTGTGCGTGGATGAATCCGATACCCAGGGATCTTATTATCTGTAAAGATTATGGAGATTTTATTTCGTTTAAGTACGGGATCTGTTGTTATTTGTTGTTATTTTTCACTGTATAAGCTGATCATCTTTTAGCGCTGGATCACACCATTATAGTGTACACTAGTTAAAGAAATTGGTTATATCTGTGTATATATATATTAAGAGTATACTCTCTTTAAAAAAGAGTGAATTTTCACTCTATTTTCACTTTCTTGGGAGTGACGTCCGTGATCACTTGTTTAGGAGTGAAAATCGATTGATTTTAGAGTGCTCTCTAGAAGAAAAGAGTGAATGTTCACTCTATTTTCACTACATTTTCACTCTCCAGAGGAGTGACGTCCGTGATTTTGAAAATTCACTCTTTTTTTTAAGAGAGTACGAGAGAGTTTACGTCATCGGTTGTACTAAAGTTAAGGCTTTCTCACTTTTTGAATGAATTATAAAGAAATTGATGTGTATGATAATTGTTTCTTACCATTGTTTTCAAATGTACATCAATGTAAATATCGGCAATAGTGTGTGCAATTGGTGAAGTTGTTGATCTGAGTATATTACAATGGGTGAAATAACTCTGTTTCTGTTACATCTTCTGACTCTTGAATATCATCAGGGAATTTAATTAAGTTCAAGGTCTATTTGCATTTTTAAAGAGAATATAATTTTGGTTTTAAGACATGTTTATCAAGGTTATTTGCATGACAACTATACTGTGAAAAATGAAATAAAATTTCATGTGGGGAATTGCATATTTGAGTCAGCTTTATTATTGTTTGTTAGTCATTTTTGCCATGAATAAAGCACTCTTGCAGACTCTTCCAAAGTTATCTACTTTTTTATTGTTATTCTACGTTTTATTTTCTGTACTATTTTTGTTTATTTTTGTCAAGAAGCATAAAAAAACAAGCTACATCGATGTGATTTGTTTTACAAAAAATGTCGCAAAGAAATACATTCAAACTTTAAAATCTAAAAAAAAAAAAAAAAAATCACGCCCTTTTACATGTTATAATGCTTATTACCAAAAACAGACAAATTTACTTTTTCGAACATAAATACTTAACAAGCATTTTGCTTACAATTTGTCAGTAGGCCTATTTCGAAGTTTTTTCTGAATCTTCATGGTTAGACCGCTCATTTCAATCTTATTACGAACATTAGAAGCAAGTAAGCAACGATGGCGAAGCTGAGGGAGGGCAGGGGACATGTGCCCCAAAATGAGTGGTGAAAGAAGAAGAGAAAATGAAAAAAAAATGCGCCTACGCCCAGTACCCCTACGCTAGAACAAAATTCTGGTATACCCAGTAGAAAGATTAGCCCCCACACTTTTTTAAGTACCCCAAAATTGCCCCTTATTACATAGCAAAAGTGTCCCTTTTACCTTGACAAGTGCCCCTATTATATTGTAAAAGTGTCCCTTCCCCTTCTCATAATTACGCATTTTCACCTCTGATAATTTCCCTTTAACAACGATACGTGCATTAGGGACCTATCCCATTTTCATAAATGCCCCTTTTCACCTCTTATAAATGCCCTCACCCAAATCTGATGGGTGCCTCTTTTCCGTCGACAAATTCGAGTTAAGGGGTTAATAAACGTCAATTTTCAAGAAAAATGGTACTTTTTCAAAATCCTGCTGTACGTGTACAGGGGTATTTTTCTAGATCCCGACTCCGAATTGAAAGCTGGTCCGGAAGCCGGTTGTTTATAACTTTCGGTCACGTCAGTTTGCTAATGTAAAAACACACAAAGAAGCCCCTAACTTCAAGTACTAGCATGTGACATGCTTGTTTACGACCGGGGTTTACGACGATGTCAAACTATAACTTTATGCTTTCTGTTCGACACATGTCCCTGGTACCATCTTGGTAATTGCCTTACCTCTCACAGTCTGACATGCATACTTTCACAAGTGTTAATTTTAGAGAATGATCAATATAAAACAATGGCAAATTTTACATCAGTAGCGCAATTTGATTTATTTTACATTGTCAACAACTTAGATGGTAATCCCTATCGCACTTGTGCACAGAGTATTAAGCCATTAAAAAAGGGAAGAGGAAGAAGGGAAAGAAGAAGAAAAAAGAAAAAAGGAAAAGTAACATGTTAAAGAACCAGAGATTTATGAAGAGACCGAATTCACAAATAGTAAACTATAAAAAAAGGGAAAGGCGTAAATATTCTCAAAAAGAATGAAACGCCGATAACACCAAAAAGCGACAACAACAACAACTTCAAAATGCTCGAGGGGTTACAATTTTACAATATTTTGTTTAGGGGTACACTTTTGTAGATGCCCGTTTAGGGTGTGAATTCGGGAAAAACCACGCGAAATCTTCATTTTAGGGTGTATTTTGGCTTCAGAAGAAATCCTCGTTTGGGGGGTGTCTGGAAAACCTGTGGTCACGCATGCTTACATGACTGAGACCCCTTAGTTTGCAGGCACAAACCCTGGTCAGTCGTAAAAGAGAGTCTGCACTATAAGACTACCATAGGCCATGTACTATAGCTGCTCCTGACACAGACACAACCAGAAGGTAGCTGGGCTAGGCTTCTCTCAAGGCACAATGATTTTGTTGATAAAGTGTCAAATGAGGGTCTTAAATGCAGACTAGAGACCCCTGGGGATATTGAGTATCATTGCTGTCATTTCATTTGCCAGGTAAGTTTTTGTGCACAAAGAGAAAGTATAAAAGGAGTAGGGAAATAGGCATGAGGAGGAGAGATGGGTGAAGAAAGTGAGAAAACAAGAATGAAGGGAGTAAAGTAGAGAGGTAAGAGAAGTGTTGAAGAAAGGAGAAGTAACAGAAGGAGATAGTGTGTATATATATATATATATAGAGAGAGAGAGAGAGAGAGAGAGAGAGAGAGAGAGAGAGAGAGAGAGAAAGAGAAGGCATGGGAGAAACAGAAGAGAGAAGGGTGGTGGTATAGAAGTCTGAAGAATTTCGCTTGAATGTTGGCAGCAATTAAATAAATAAGATAAAAGTAAAAGAGTTATTTTTTGGACATGTGATATGTAAGGTCCAAATATGTTTTCTTTTCTTTTTTTGTGTTATTCACAAATTTTGCGTGTACAGCTCCGCCCCTACCGACTGCCTCATATACACATGCACAAACAGACACAGACATTCTCTCTCCCTCTCCACCATCTCTTTCTCTCTCTCTCTCTCTCTCTCTCTCTCTCTCTCCCTCTCCACCATCTCTTTCTCTCTCTCTCTCTCTCTCTCTCCACCATCTCTCCCTTTCTCTCTCCACCATCTCTCCCTCTCATCATATCATTCTCTATATTTCACCTCCATATACTCTGTATCTGTTTTTCTCTCCACCATCTACCTTCCCTCTCCAGGCGCTTAGCCAGGCCAAAAAAAAAGAGAAAGAAGAAAGGAAGAGGACGTAGGAAGAACAAGGATTAAGAGTTGAGAACGGTACCACGAATCGTCTTCTTTCTCTAATTATTTAATGAAACGCCAAAAGAAACTGAATTTAGACGAGGAATAAGAGTCGAGAACGGTACAACGAATCGTCTTCTTTCTCTAATAATTTAATGAAACGTCAAAGCTTCCGCACTTCGCATGGGAGGGGGAGCCTGCCCACTCCCTGCACCCAACCCCTAGGGAGCGCGTTCTGTAAGTGATTCACACGCTTTGCGTGCTCACTACCGCCCCCCCCCCCCCTGAAATAAAATCCTGGCTACGTGCTTGTCCCTTTTATTCCCTCTTATTCTTATTACATGTAGAGAGCAGGTATCCTTTCAAGGAGTTATTAAAATATCTAGCACAGACTTTAATGCTATGACTAGAATTTTTTTTAAAGTCGCCTGGCTCTATAACAGGCCTAAAAAGAAGGGGGTGGTGACGTCAATGCCATTTGCTATACTACAAATTGTTTTCATTTATCAGGTTCTCAAGTTTTCTCTAAGTGCTCACATTAATAGACAAAGAAAGGGAACCAGGGCCCTCTTGCATAAAACTTGTCATCAATTAATTTTGTCAGGACTCCTCAATCCTCCCTCTCTCTCACATGGTGCACCCGCAAGCCTACTGTATAAATTAATAACAAGTTAGAACAACTGCTATGAGCTACTGAAATCGTGGCATTTGATCGGCCAAGAGCAAATTTGTCATAGAAATTTAGCATTTGTTATTGATAACAAGTTATATGAAACAGGGCCCAGGTCAGTTACTTTGAAAGTGCAATACAACGCTGATTATCACGTTTAAAATTACTCAAATCGGACGGGGACATCTTATCCTCCTCCTTTCTCGCTCTGTACATCCATAGTTGTGACCTTCACAGGTACACATTAATGTTGATGGAATACGATATTATATTCCTTTGACACAGCGTTTTTACACTGAAAATGTGAACTAACATACAACAATGTGAAAGTATGTGTAAAGTATTAAAAATGCTATTGAAAACAAGCAAATTTTGCTGTGACTGGCATAATTTACAGAAATGTACATAAACGATTATACAGTGCGCCCCTGAAAAAAACGAAACCGAGAATTATCGATGTTTTATCATAGCTTAATCACAATTATAATTGATAAATGACACATATTTGGAAAGCTTAGATCCTCCTCTTTCATTTGATGCAACTTATATGATGTGCTTGCATTTCCATAATTTTATTAAACGACTTCGTTTTCGCTGGGTGCCTGCCGTAGCAACAAACGGAATTAACAAAAGACTTAACTCCGTTTCGTTGACAATCAGCTGTAGACGAAAGACTTGATGCATGGCCAATGGCTGATTGTCAACGAAACGGAGTTAAGTCTTTTGTCAATTCTGCTTATTGCTACGGCAGGCAGCCAGTGAAAATGAATTCGTGTGATAAATTATGGAAATGCAAGCACTACTTCAAACAAACAGAACTTTGTCATTCCTTGCTCATTTTTTTCTAATTGAGGTGTCATATGAAAGGGCAGAAACTCAACTTTTTAGAAAGGTAATCTTTTCTTTGAAATTCAAATACCGTCCGCCAAATGACTTTTTGGTTTCCTTTCTTCAAATTCATTTTAATCACTCATGCGGGAAATGTGCATCATATGAGTTGAATCAAAATGTAAGAGGAGGATCTAAGCTTTCCAAATAAATGTGTTATTTATTAATTATAAATGTGTTTAAGTTATGATAAAACATCAATAATTCTCGGTTTCGTTTTTTCTGGGACGCACTGTATAAGCATTAAGCTAGTCTACAGTCATGTTCGATGGCGAGAATTTCTATATTTTCAGAGATCGTATTCTTGAGGAAATCTCACTGACATCGAGATATTTAAGATGCTATGTTGTAAAACAGCCAATTAGACAATGAGAAAAACCCTTAGTTTTACCTCAAATTATCAATATAACTCATCGTGTTATGTTCCAAACCATAGTCTTCATAAAGTTGGTCGTTAAAGCCCAAGTCCACTCCAAAAATAACTTACTTTCAATAGAACCAGAAAAATCAGAAAAACTAATCCAAACAAAATTGAGCAAAATCGGATAACTAATAAGAAAGTTATGAATTTTTAATGACATGAAAAACTTTGAAAATCACTACACAAATTGGCAACTCACTCATGAGTCTGTGACGTATGGTCCTCACTATCCACTAATTATTTTCTGTATATTAATAATATAAATTTCCTATTTTCACCCTTAGAATCCTATTTCTTCACACCAGCATCCAAGTTAGATTGTTAGTAATATGTGTTTGTGTGGATGCACAAATAAAGAGTAATTTTTGTCCAGTTAAATCATGAAAAAAAAAAGAATTTTGATAAACTTTTTATATAAAAATCAATAATTATGAAATACAATATTCAGAAAATAGTATCAATTCTTAAAAATTCATAAAAGTTTTTGGGAAATGTCATGCACGCAATATGATACAAATCATATAACCTGGGCAAAGGCATGGGGAAATCAAGTTTTGGGGGATAAAAAGGGAAATTAATGGGATTAAAGTATGTAAAGCAATTGATAAGTTGTCAGGACATGACGTCACAAACTGATAACCATCTTGGCAATTTGTGTTGTGATTTTCATTGCTCCATAGTTTTACATACTTTTTCAAAAATTCATAACTTCCTTATTAGTTATCCGATTTTGCTCAAACCTTTTTTTTATTGGTTTGTCTGATTTTTCTGCTTTTATTGAAAGTAAGTTATTTTTCGAGTGGACTTGTCCTTTAAAGAGGTTTCATGGACATAGGTTTTTGGTTATAATAATAATAATACATGAGATTTATATAGCGCTATTATCCATTTTAATAATGCTCAAGGCGTTTCAGAATATTAGTGAACACATTACATCGTGACAAAGAATCGTGTACATTTACATAAGAAAGAAAATGCAACAATGAAAGAATGAATGAATGAATGTCTGTCTTCAAAACGCAAAATTTAACGAATGGGATTTAAGGTTGCTCTTAAAAGACGTTGAAGAGTCGGAGTTCTTCAGCTCCTGTGGAAGTGAATTCCACAGGGCTGGTCCGGCATGAGCAAAAGCTCGTTCCCCCGAGATTTCTTTGAAAGCGGTATGTATATGTGTAGAGACCAGAGGATCGAAGGGTACGTGTGGGTTGGTAGAGGTGAACTAACGTATTCTGGTTGTATTCAGGAGCTGTTCTGTTCATTTGATGAACTAAAAGAAGGATTTAAAAGTTATCTTGAAAAGATTCACTTCTCCGTAAATATTTACACTTACACTTACCGGCGCACACTACACGATTCTACTGCGATCCGATTCTTGAATAAATTGCAATTATATTAGTTATGGAAAAATAAACAAAGAACGTTTTGCTGATTTAGATTGTAATTAATGATCATATGAATACTAACAGCAATAACTTTGGTGCCTTTAAGCCTTCTAGACACAATTAATTCCGAATCGGCTTCAAATCGTGGACAATCGCTATACTGGTATGACGTCACTAAAATTCTGAGCCGATTCAGCTTTTCCTTCGTCAAGGAAGCCTTGAAAGCCCCTTAAAGTTATATTTTATTCATTACATGAATAATCAGATTCTCAATCAATGAGATTGTAAATGTTGGAATTTTCATATACAATGTTGTAAATTCTTCCAAAATCGGATCGCAGTCAGATCGCGTATAGTGCGCTTAATAAGAATCAGTAAGTAAAAACCGCTAAAATGTGCTAAAGCACTCCTATTTAGCAAATATGAAATTATACAGTTGCAATCATGGTGATAGTAGTCCTAATATTGAAAACAGGAAGAAACTGCCGATACAAGTACTATTTAAAAAAATTATTCAACCATGTCATAAAGTCATCATGGCACGAGAATACACATTAAGTCTATGATTGCCAATTATCTAACAGATTTTCTAACAGATTTTAATGTCAATGAATACCAACAACAACATCAATATCAACAATGATAATGGTGATGGTGATGATGGTGATGATGATAACAACAATAATAATAATAATGATAATAATACTAACAGTAAAAATAATGATGATAATAATAACAATAATAATAATAACAATGAAAATATTAATAATGATGATGATGGTGAATGAGAACATTAAGAAGACAATTTATTATTTGAGGATAATAGTATAATATTAACAATATCGGTAGCGCGATTATGCTTACTACATTCACCACGAAAACTATTACTACTAGTAGTAGTACTACTACTACTACTTCTACTACTACTACAACTACTACTACTACTACTACTACTACTACTACTACTACTACAACCACTTTCATTACTGATAACCATCACACGTTTCTCTAGGTTCCTACATGACTGTTATGCTACTCGTTTGGGATCAAGTCATTCGTCCTTAGATTGATGGTAAGATTTTTGGTCAATTCATCCCAGAAATATTCTTGTCCTCTCACGTTCTCAGTCCAGTGGATATAGGGTCTGCCATCACTGAGATACAACCTCGCCAAGAATGGCATTTCATCATCTGGGATGTCTTCGAGGAAGACCACGACTACGAATTCAGTCAGAGTGTCACTCACGTGGTCCATGGCCGTCCGGAACTTGAGTATGAACCAGTGGTCGTGCACAGCAGCTCTGCTAAGCACTATGATGGTCTTGTAACTATGGCTCACCACGTAATCGACGGAATCTAAGTAATGCATACCCAATACAAGGTCTTCGTCACCGAAGACGTTCCTCTGAAACTGTGGAAGCCGTTCTTCGAGAGCCGGTCGAAGATGTTCGCGAATCCATTCTTCATCATCGTCGTAGAAAATAATGTTCACGTCAAACTCGTAGTCATTGTTGTCTCGAGCGTCTCGCATCTCTTTATAGCCAACTACGGCCAGTTTCAAGAGAAAGAGTTTGTATCTCAACTGCCATCGGTAGTGATACAACAACACGCTGATTACAACCAAGCTAATGGAGATGAGGGGAATCAGAGAGAATAGACTATTGTTTAGCATACAGAGCTCATTTGGATAAAAATCAAGCAGGGGTTTCTCACGAAGAGGCTCCAGAGATGCTGACGAACAGATAGTATTTTCCTTGTCTATCAGGCGTATAGGTTCACCTAACCAATCAATGAGCCACTTTAGATCACAGTTACAGCTAACTGGATTCATTGATAGATCAAGTGATGAAATGGAGGAAAAGATCGGCTTGAAAGTGCTTTGAATAAGGCGCGTTAATCTGTTGTTGGCCAAGGAAAGATTTGTGAGCTTCCAGTTATTTGAGAACATTAGCTCCTCCAAGTACGCGATACGGTTTCCTTCAAAGTTGATAGTTTTTATTTGACCCAACCCCGACAATAAATCATCATGAATATGCTGGATGTTGTTACCTTTTAAACTCAACTTCTGAAGCGATTCCAGCCCCGAGAAGACAAGAGGATGTAGATTTTTAATATCGCAGTGGTCTAGATTTAGCTCTTGTAAAACAGAGAGTTGCTGGAATATCCCTGGTGGTAAATCACTTATAAAACTCAGGAAAGGGTTACTACTCAAATCCAAATGAATAAGATTCAATAACCCATCGAAAAGAGACGCGTTTGCAGTTGCATTCCATAGGTAAAACAGGTCAAGGATAGAGTCTTTCATGTCTAATTCAACAAGGGAATGTAAATTTTGAAATGTTCCTGGTCGCAAAGGAAGCAAGTCTGAACGAAGAGAGTTTAGGGAAAGTGATCTTAATATTGGGGTGTTCAATTCCAGAACAGTTATACGGCTTCCGGTCAAATCAATGGTTTGAATATTGTCAAGTCCCGAAAAGGCCGTCAGCTCAAAGAAAGAAAGGTACTTGTTCGAGCTCATGTCTAAGAAAGTTAAATTTCCTAAACCAAGAAATACAAATGCAGATATTTCTGTAAACAGATTACCGGATAAGTAAAACTCCGATAAGTCCACTGTCCAAGTCTGATTGTGAGGATTAATTTGTCTTACTTGGTTGTAGTTGATTATCAGTACCTTTAATGCCTTCATGCCCTCGAAAAAGTCCGGTTGAATTTCGTCTATTGGGAGATTGTTATAAGTGAAACTGAATTGTATGAGTTTTGTCAAATTTGAGAAGACTAAAGGATAGAGGCTACTCAGGTCGTTGCTGTTGAAGTCCAGAACGGATAGAGAAGAATCGCGCAGTGGATCAAAGAAATCTTCAGGAAACGCACCAACGGATCCTTTCATGATTGTGAGCTGTTCGATGTCTGATTGTGAGATTCCGAGGATGATGTTCGCTAGCACCTCGTAACTTAAATTGTAGCCACCTAGCACCAACGAGCGAACATGTAGTGATGCGATCACACCAGGGTCTACTGATTGGATAGGGTTGATTTTTAAGATCTAGAGTATCAGTGTGGCACACAAAGATGAAGTCTCTCGCCGTAAGGTGTTTTAGTCGATTACCAGTCATGTATACAGTGTCGGCCATGCCACAAGAACTTACATTGACGTAGGAGAGCTGGTTGAACCACAAATATGCAGTATCTAGATGTAGACTCCATTTTAGAATGTCATCGGGGAGCGACTTCAAGTTTGATGACGTTAACTCGAGAATGGAAAGCTGTGAAGACATCATAAAGACGCCTGTTGCTGGAAGCACAAGACGCGGGTTGAAGGATAGAGACAGGTACATTAAGCCCTTGAGAGGGTAAAAAGCGGCGGATTCTATCGCTCTTACATCATTAGAAGAAATGTTCAAGGAGTTGATTAGAGGGTATTCTTCAAACGAGGAGTTCAAGAGTTTGGTGATATTGTTCTTAGACAAGTCAAGCACCTCGGTATCCTGAGAAAGATTCTGGGGAACCGTCTCCAGGTCTTTATCGCGGCAAGAAGCTTTTTTAAGTTCAAGGTTCTGATCACATCCATGGAAAGATTTTTCCATGTCCAGTGTTAAGGATGTCATCGCCGAATCTCCATCGTTTTGATGTAAAGATTGAAAGGACGAGCTGACGAGGAGACAAGCGAAAAGCAATGGGTACAAGATTGAGCCGTTTGCCATGACGTCAATATATTACCTCTAAAAAAGGAACGGTACACCTTTAATTGTCGGATAATAATATATCGCTCTTGAATATAATGCTAACTCACGCTCATAGAAGCATAAACAAATGTTTATCCTTTGCTGCAGACGGTCAGCCTCGTTTTGAGCTGTGAAAAGGTGCTCGGATTTTCTTTCCTTAAAAAATAGTGGTTATTATATTTTAAATGACTAATCAAAACTGAAATATAGGTTCGGGAACCAATTATAAATGTTTATAGACGAAACCGAAAGTCATGTTGCTGTTTTGGATAAGCATAATTATAAATATTTACAAGTAATAAAATCACACGCAAATCTATATGAGATATACTAACGGTTATATATTAGAGAACACAAAGGGAAATATTTGATATCACATGACATTAAACTTCCATGCGCTAGTATAATAGGCAGGGGCGGCGATCCCGGGAGGACACGTCCCCCCCCCCCCTCATTTTTTTAAGGAGGGGATCGTCGCCCCTTCAAATTTGAAAAAGTGCCCCCAAAAATGTAATAGCAAATACTGACTAAAAACTGCAACACACTTTTAGGCTCTGGATCGGTCCAAAGAGGCTGCGTTTAGACAAATAAATATGCAAAAATCTTCTCACTTGGTAGCTACGCTCTCTCGCATAATATCCTTCATAAGGATAAGTAAGATAAGATAAGTAGGTCAACCAATAGGAGTACTTCATGCCATATCTGAAGATGCGCTCGGCGCAGCACTTATTACGCGTCATAATAAATTATTTTTTTTGTTTTGTAGCATTTTATTACATTCATTCACTTCAAAAATCATACATCTTCATTTTAATTGATATACATAACATATCAAAATGTAATGAAAATTGTACAGCCCTCAGAAATACATATTATAGTTAAATACTTAGTACAAAACGTCTTCGAATTAATTATACTGAATGAATATTATTTAAAGCCTTCCCCTCCCCCTACCCCCCCCCCCTCCTACCCCGATAGACAACAAACACACAAACAAACAAAACAGAAAGAAGAGAAGAAATGAAATGAAATGAAATGAAGTGGCGAAGTGTAACGTCATCAAAAATCTATTTTGGGAATTTCTCAATTTTTTCTTCATTTTCCGAAAGAGCATACAAAATAATGTCCAAATGTCGAAAGACCAATTGAATATGTTAAGTATTGGCTGAGATATAGACATCTGAATGAAAAGATTTCCTATAGGAACTCAGTGTATATTGCTCTGGCTCGTAATGTTATGAACCAGAGCAATAAAACTGACTGAGTTCCCATTGGAAATTTATTTATTTAGATGGTCATATCTCAGCCAATACGTAACCTATTCAATTGGTTTTCGACATTAGGACATTATTGTTGATGCTCTTTCTGAAAATGAAGAAAAAAATGAGAAATTCCAAAAATATATTTTTGATAACGTCACACTGCACCACTCTATACTACTACTACTACTACTACTACTACTACTACTACTACTACTGATGTTGCTGCTGCTACTAATACTACTTCTGCTACTACCACTTTCATTACTGATAACCATCACACGTATCTCTAGATTCCTATTGGACTGCTAATCGTTTGGGATCAAGTCATTCGTCCTTAGATTAATGGTCAGATTTTTGGTCAATTCATCCCAGAAATATTGTTGTCCTCTCACGTTTTCAGTCCAGTGAATATAGGGTCTGCCATCACTGAGATACAACCTCGCCAAGAATGGCATTTCATCATCTGGGATGTCTTCGAGGAAAACCACAAATACGAATTCCGTCAGAGTGTCACTCACGTGGTCCATGGCCGTCCGGAACTTGAGTATGAACCAGTGGTCGTGCACAGCAGCTCTGCTAAGCACAATGATGGTCTTGTAACTACGGCTCACCACGTAATCGACGGAATCTAAGTAATGCATACCCAATACAAGGTCTTCGTCACCAAAGACATTCCTCTGAAACTGTGGAAGCCGCTCTTCCAGAGCCGGTCGGAGCTGTTCGCGAATCCATTCTTCGTCATCGTCGTAGAAAATGATGTTCACGTCAAACTCGTAGTCATTGTTGTCTCGAGCGTCTCGCATCTCTTTATAGCCAACTACGGCCAGTTTCAAGAGAAAACATTTGTACCTCAACTGCCATCGGTAGTGATACACCAGCACGCTGATAACAACCAAGCTAATGGAAGCGAGGGGAATCAGAGAGAATATACCATAGTTTATTATACAGAGTTCATTTGGATCAAAATGAAGCAGGGGTTTCTCACGAAGAGGCTCCAGAGATGCTGACGAACAGATAGTATTTTCCTTGTCTATTAGGCCTATAGGTTCATTTAACCAATCAATAAGCCACTTTAGATCACAGTTACAATTGATTGGGTTCATTGATAGATCAAGTGATGAAATGGAGGAAAAGATCGGCTTGAAAGTGCTTTGATTAAGGCGCGTTAATCTGTTGTTGGCCAAGGAAAGATCGGTGAGCTTCCAGTTATTTGAGAACATTAGCTCCTCCAAGTACGCGATACGGTTTTCTTCAAAGTTGATAGTTTTTAATTGACCCATCCCCGACAATACATCATCATGAATATGCTGGATGTTGTTTCCTTTCAAACTCAACTTCTGAAGCGATTCCAACCCCGAGAAGACAAGAGGATGTAGATTTGTAATATCGCAGTGGTCTAGATTTAGTTCTTGTAAAACAGAGAGTTGCTGGAATATCCCTGGTGGTAAATCACTTATAAAACTCAGGAAAGGGTTACTACTCAATTCCAAATGAATAAGATCGAATAATCCATCGAAAAGAGACGCGTTTCTATTTTCATTCCATATGTTATAAATGTTAAGCCGAGAGTCTTTCATGTCTAAATTAACAAGGGATTGTATATGTTGAAACGATTCTCCTGGTCGCAAAGGAATTAATTCTGAACGAAGAGAGTTTACGGAAAGTGATCTTAATATTGGGGTGTACAATTCCAGAACAGTTATACGGCTTCCGGTCAAATCAATGGTTTGAATATTGTCAAGTCCCGAAAAGGCCGTCAGCTCAAAGAAAGAAAGGTACTTGTTCGAGCTCATGTCTAAGAAAGTTAAATTTCCTAAACCAAGAAATACAGATGCAGATATTTCTGTAAACAGATTACCGGATAAGTGAAACTCCGATAAGTCCACTGTCCAAGTCTGATTGTGAGGATTAATTTGTCTTACTTGGTTGTAGTTGATTATCAGTACCTTTAATGCCTTCATGCCCTCGAAAAAGTCCGGTTGAATTTCGTCTATTGGGAGATTGTTATAAGTGAAACTGAATTGTATGAGTTTTGTCAAATTTGAGAAGACTAAAGGATAGAGGCTACTCAGGTCGTTGCTGTTGAAGTCCAGAACGGATAGAGAAGAATCGCGCAGTGGATCAAAGAAATCTTCAGGAAACGCACCAACGGATCCTTTCATGATTGTGAGCTGTTCGATGTCTGATTGTGAGATTCCGAGGATGATGTTCGCTAGCACCTCGTAACTTAAATTGTAGCCACCTAGCACCAACGAGCGAACATGTAGTGATGCGATCACATGAGGGTCTACTGATTGGATAGGGTTTTCTCTAAGATCTAGAGTATCAGTGTGGCACACAAAGGTGAAATCTCTCGCCGTAAGGTGTTGTAGTCGATTACCAGTCATGAGTACAGTGTCGGCCATGCCACAAGAACTTACATTGACGAAGGAGAGCTGGTTGAACCACAAATATGCAGTATCTAGATGTAGACTCCATTTTAGAATGTCATCGGGGAGCGACTTCAAGTTTGATGACGTTAAATCGAGAATGGAAAGCTGTGAAGACATCATAAACACGCCTGTTGCTGGAAGCACAAGACGCGGGTTGAAGGATAGAGACAGGTACATTAAGCCCTTGAGAGGGTAAAAAGCGGCGGATTCTATCGCTCTTACATCATTAGAAGAAATGTCCAAGGAGTTGATTAGAGGGTATTCTTCAAACGAGGAGTTCAAGAGTTTGGCGATATTGTTCTTAGATAAGTCAAGCACCTCGGTATCCTGAGAAAGATTCTGGGGAACCGTGTCCAGGCCTTTATCGCTGCAAGAAGCTTCTTTTAGTTCAAGGTTCTGATCACATCCATGGAAAGATTTGTCCATGTCCAGTGTTAAGGATGGCATCGCCGAATCTCCATCGTGTCGATGTAAAGATTGAAAGGACGAGCTGACGAGGAGACAAGCGAAAAGCAATGGGTACAAGATAGAGCCGTTTGCCATGACGTCAATATATTACCTCTAAAAAAGGAACGGTACACCTTTAATTGTCGGATAATAATATATCGCTCTTGAATATAATGCTAACTCACGCTCATAGAAGCATAAACAAATGTTTATCCTTTGCTGCAGACGGTCAGCCTCGTTTTGAGCTGTGAAAAGGTGCTCGGATTTTCTTTCCTTAAAAAATAGTGGTTATTATATTTTAAATTACTAATCAAAACTGAAATATAGGTTCGGGAACCAATTATAAATGTTTATAGACGAAACCGAAAGTCATGTTGCTGTTTTGGATAAACATAATTATAAATATTTACAAGTAATAAAATCACACGCAAATCTGTATGAGATATACTAACGGTTATATATTAGAGAACACAAAGGGAAATATTTGATATCACATGACATTAAACTTCCATGCGCTAGTATAATAGGCAGGGGCGGCGATCTCGGGGGGACACGTCCTCCCCCCCCCCCCTCATTTTTTTAAGGAGGGGATCGTCACCCCTTCAAATTTGAAAAAGTGCCCCCGAAAATGTAATAGCAAATACTGACTAAAAACTGCAACACACTTTTAGGCTCTGGAGGTCCCAAGAGGCTGCGTTGAGACAAATAAATATGCAAAAATCTTCTCACTCGGTAGCTACGCTCCCTCGCATAATATCCTTCAAAATTTACAAGTAAATACCGAGAAAAATGAAGTGTGAAAAAGGAATATTACTTGTTTTTGTACTATACAGTGTGAGTCCAAAAAAAAGTTTTCACCTAGAAAATTGCTAATTATTTAAAAAATCATCGATGAACATTAAATTGTTATATGTCTGATGATAGAGTGTTTTATCCCAAATCATTTGGTACCATTTTTGTGTGGTATGTGTTAACGCTTGGATGAACAGGAGACATTGTTTGCGAGAGTGCAAACATCGACTTGCGCCAAAGTTGGTCTTTGCAGATCCAAATAACATCCCTAACAAAACTAATCATGCCATACATGTCAAACATCAACAAACCTTTGTGCGCGCGCGTGTGGGTGTGTGTGACATTGCCCTTTGCAAAAAACATATGCAATGCATTTCATTTGATACATTCAATACATTCTCTTACTCCGCTAATCCCAACATAATACATACTGTAGACATCACTTTGGCCCAAGTCGATTTTTGCACTCTCGCAAACAATGCCTCCTGTTCATTCAAGCGTGAACACATACCACACAAAAATGGTACCAAATGGTTTGGGATAAAACATTCTTTCATAAGATGTATAATAATTTACTGTTCATAGATGATTTTAAAAATAATAAGCAATTTTCTAGGTGTAATTTTTTTTTGACTCACACGGTAGTTTTGCTAAGGAATGTAATTTTGTAATACAACAAAACTTCAAAAACCTGTGAGGAGGTAGTCACTTCCGTCACCTTCAACCCTCTCGTTCACTATGCTCCCTCGCACTTGCGTACTGATGGGGGGGGGGGGGGCTTGGGGCAGTTCCCCCTCCCCCACAATAAAATTCAAATGTGGTTTATTTCTAATTCGATACCAGTGATTTACAAATGTTGCTGAAATGGCATGATTTTTCCCTGAGCTTCTGGGGGCTCTGCCCCCTCGACACCACCAAGGGCCCTATAGCGGGCCTCTGGTTGATCATCTGACCGTAATTAAATGCATAATACCCCCAGAGCTTCCGGGGCTCCGTCCCCTGGACCCCACCAGGGCCCTAAGGCGGCCCCTGGATGCTCATCTGATCATAATGCAATGCCTAAAACGCCTGAACTTCTGGGGGCTCCGCACCCTGGACCCCACTCCAATTAGTGACCAGCATGCCAGTGTCACAAATAAGGTATCAAAATATGCCTATCTGACCGTAATTAAATGCCTAAAACCCCTGAGCTTCATGGCGCTCCGCCCCTGGACCCCACCTCAATTTACACTCCACTTGCTTTCAATATTCAATTCAATTCAATTTTATTTCATTCAGTTAAAAAGACAACATTTCATATAACAACCAGCTCTATAACTCAAAATACACATTAAGAACATACTTGATATTTGGACATAAATTAAACTGAATAGGTTGCAACCTAAAAGGAAAAAAAATAAGCCTTATATAAATGTCACAGGTAAATCCTTGTTCACCTGCACCCAGTTCAGGGGTTTATTTTATACAGGAGATTTTAGTTAGAGAAACAAGAAAACAAATAAGGATATCTCCACAGAGTAGTTTGAGTGAAAGATCCGAAAGAAGGGATTTATTAACACTTAACCTCAAAGGTAGGTTAAGCTACAAAATATCACTCATCCAAATAATAATTATAATACATAAAAACATGTATTGATAAACATATAATAGTTACATATATCAGCAGAATCTTTAGCCGACATGCAAGGCTTCACAAACTAACAGTGAGAACTCTTAACATATACGTGCAAAATAACTTTACAAGGTTTAAAAGAAAGGGACTATAATTATCTTGAGGTATAAAACTATCAATCCTTCTGTTCTTCTTAGCCAGGGCGAAGAGCGTTGCCTTGGTAACAGGGGGGACAGTCTAAACCAGTTCCGTTCGTCTAATACAGTAGGACTTTTAAGGGGCTGAACAGGGCGACGAATATCTGTTCAGGGAGGGTAACAACCAGGCGAAGAATACAATATTTAAAAGTAGAAGGAATAACAGTACAAGAATATGGTTCTTGTACTCTCCTCAAAATATGACTTGTCTCGCTGGTGTCCAAATTAGCTCTCCACATTATTAATACAACAATGAGATTTTAATAAATGTAATTCTATAACCCGACATGAATAGAATGAATCGAAAGAGAGAGAGAGAAAGAGAGAGAGAGAGAGAAAGAAAGAAAGAGAGAGAGAGAGAGAGAGAGAAAGGAATGAGTTGATAACAACTAACTTATTAAACTTATTCACAACAAACTAAGAATAAAATATATACAAAGTAGTATAGAACACAACGTAACTATGCTACAAAACATGAGCTCAACTGTACAACATTGTCATGAAATGATAAAGTAAAACCTAAGCTATTATATTCCAAGTCTCATCTCGACTGGAATAGAATTGAAAAGTTCAGAACATAACTTAACTTTGGCAAATTGAGTTAGGCCAAATTATTATGTTGATGAAATAAAAAGATATCACATCTTTCTTAGTGTAAACCAAGAATAATTATCAGGGCAGTATAACATACTGAAATAGAACATGTCCTATTCTATTCTGACTGAATGTAATTCATTTCACTTCTTCTATCAAATAAAATACTACTAAAGACTTATGATAGTGAATGAATAACTATATTAAAAAGGCAATATACGATTACAGCCTTATTAGCAATGAATTAAAAGGAATTAGAAAACAGTGGGTCTTACCTGTTCAGGGAGGGTGACAACCAGGCGAAGAATACAATATTTAAAAGTAGAAGGAATAACAGTACAAGAATATGGTTCTTGTACTCTCCTAAAAATATGACTTGTCTCGCTGGTGTCCAAATTAGCTCTCAAAGGGAGAGCCAATCTTCCTCCCAAACCAGGCAAACAGCCCCAATATTCCCCATCCATAAGATAAGGAGTACCAGTAAATGTGTCGACTGGTCATTCAGTGGTCTGGGTTTTGACATAAACAAGGCCTATAGGACAGGGGTCTCTTTGTTCCCTTCACCAGTGGCATATACCAGCTAGGTGGTCGAAACATAAAAAAGGTTTAAAGGGATAATTCAAAGATGGGTGTAACAATTTAAAGCAATATAGGTTTACTCAAACCTTGTTAATAAACAGGGTCTGACATAAAGGTTGACCCTTTTTTATAATAAAAAAATATGAAATATATCCGTTACTAAACATTATACTATACACAAATCAAGACAACAAACATACATACAACAAACAAATGAAATATGTCTTGAATTTAAATGATTATTGCAGTTTATCTAAAAGAAATTTCTTATACCTACGTTTAAAAACATTTACACCAACAGAATTATGAATATAATGGGGAAGAGTGTTCCATAAAAAGGGTCCTTGGAAAATAATTATTTTTTGGTTTAGTACTGTACGAGTCAATGGCAAGTGAAATTATTTAGCATTTCTAGTATTATAACTATGAATATTACTTTTTTAAATAAACAATTTGGAAATAGAATCAGGAATAAGATTGAGGTGACATAAATACATAAAAACACATATATACATCCCTATATTGCAACATGTTTAATGAGTAAAATATTGGATTGGTATGGGCAAGAAAAGAATAATGATTAATAATTCTTATTGCACGTTTTTGTAATTTAAACAGTCTATCTTGATAAATTAATGCAGCATTGCCCCATACAATAATAGCATAATGTAAGTAAGGGTACACAATTGCGTAGTATATCATTTTGAGTATAATTTTAGGGAGAGATTTCAATCTGTACATGACACCAATACTTTTAGATAATTTGTTGCAGATGACACCAATATGATTAGACCAGGAGAACTTATCATCAATAATAACACCCAAAAACTTTGCTGAAGAAACTCTCTGAATGTTTACATTACCTAGTTTGATTGTTATTGAGTCTTTAATTAGTTTCTTTTTGGTAAAAATCATAAAATTGGTTTTCTTTTCATTAATGGAAAGTTTATTAGCGTAAAACCATTGAACAATTAATCCAATCTCAATATTAAATGTAGTTTCAAGAGTATGTTTGTTTTTGAATTACATAATTTTTAAAATCATTATTGCACGAAGAAAAAGAAAGGTTCAAGTTATGACCGATGCTTACAAAATGTTCATTCAATATATTACAAATTTCCATATCAGTTGTAATATTTTTTTCATTACATTGAATACATTTAATAACAGATTTTTTATTCTGCTTACCAAGAGCCTGATTGATAACGCTCCATGTTTTTGTCATGTTCCCTTTATTATTCCGAAATTTGTTTCCATAATACGCTCTTTTCGTACTTTTTATCATATTCGTTACTTTATTAAGACATTTTTTATAAACATTCTTTCTATATACAGTGGGATTTTGCAAATATAGCTTATAATATCTGTTTTACTTCGTACTAAATTTCCGAATATCGCTTGTAAACCAAGGTTTGTCCATACGCTTTTTTTTATCAGATATAAATTCAATAGGAAAACAAATGTTATATGCATCCATGAATCGTCTAAAGAAATCATCATAACTCTTATCAGTATTATTTTCACTGAGATTCCGTCGTTGTAATTCCAACAAATAAGCAAATCTACTAATATTATTATCATGTATTTCTCTTCTTTCATAAATTATTTTATCTAAAGTATTTACTTCATTTTCGCACAAACAGTAAACAGGAAAGTGGTCGCTTAATTCAGATAAAATAATACCTACATGGGTTTGGCAAGTATCATTTGTGGCAAGTATCGCTTTGCTCTACCTGATCGTAAATACTTTAGCCCCCCCCCCTCACT